GTGGGAATGCAAACTGGTGTAGCCACTCTGGAAAACAGTGTGGGGGTTCCTCAAAAAATTAAAAATAGAACTACTCTGCAACCCAGCAATTGCACTACTAGGTATTTATCTGAAGGATACAGGAGTGCTGTTTCAAAGGGGCACATGCACCCCAATGTTAATAGCACTATTGACAATAGCCAAAGTATGGAAAGATCCCAAATTTCCATCTAGTGATGAATGGATAAAGAAGATGAGGTATATATTTATGATGTAATATTACTTGGTGATCAAAAATAATGAAATCTTGCCATTTGCAACAACATGGAAAGAACTAGTGTATTACACTAAGTGAAATAAGTCAATCAGAGAAAGACAAATACATGATTTCACTCATATGTAAAATTTAAGAAACAAAACAGATGGGGCGCCTGGGTGGCTCAGCCGGTTAAGTGTCCGACTTCAGCTCAGGTCATGATCTCACGGTCTGTGAGTTTGAGCCCTGCATCAGGCTCTGTGCTGACAGCTCAGAGCTGGGAGCCTGCTTCAGATTCTGTGTCTCCCTCTCTCTGCCCTTCCCCTGCTCACGCCTCTGTCTCTGTCTCTTTCTCTCAGAAGTAAATAAACATTGGGAAAAAAAAATAGTTGAACATAGGGGAAGGGAAGCAAAAATAATATAAAAACAGAGAGGGAGACAAACCATAAAAGGCTCTTAAATATAGAGAACAAACTGAGGGTTGCTTGAGGGGTATTGGGAAGGGGTGAGGGGCATTAAGGAGGACACTTGTTGGGATGAGCACTGGGTGTTATATGTAAGCGATGAATCACTAAATTCTATTCTGAAATTATTATTACACTATCTGTTAACTAACTTGGATTTGAATTAAAAATCATTATAATAATAAAAATAATAATCAGTCTTTAAAAAATACAAATAAAAACAGAATCCTTAAAACATCAAAATCTAGATGGTCAAATCATGCAAATACACACAAAAAGTTAACAAGTTAATGCCTCCTGAGTGGTGTAGCCTGGTAGATCCCCCAACAGTCAGAGGAAGATGTCTCTGTGTATTGGGCTGGCCCAGGACGACACTGTAGAGAAGGTGGGACAGGGTTATAAGGGATCCATTAAGACGCAAGAGTAGATAGGGCAAAGGACAAAGAGGAAGAGGAAGAGCACTCCATGCAGGAGGAAATCATAAGCCGCAAGGGGGGAAACACTGTAATAAAAAAGAAAGGAAGAAAAGAAAAAAAGAAAAAATGTGCATTCAGCTGTTATTAGGTATAGTGTTCTTTCTATGTGTCATTTAGGTCAAGTTGATAATGTTAATTCTTCCATATACTTACTGATTTCTTGATAGTTTGTTTCTGAATGTTCTTTTTATTACTGGGAGAGGGGTATCGAAATCTTGAAGAATTACTGTGAATTTGTTAATTTATCCTTTTAAAAAGTTTTGTTCATTTTTGCTTCATGTATTTTGAAGCTCTGTTATTATGTACATGCACATTTAGGATTGTATGTATTGATAAATTGGCTCACCATTATTAAATGTCCCTTTTTATATCTGTAATACTCTTTTTTGTGTGTTAGTCTACTTTGTTATTAAATAACAAAAATTCAACGGAATAAATTATAAAGATCCAGTTGGCTTTATTAACCAATTCACAAATCAGGCAGCATACCATCTAGCAGGTAGAAAGGAGATCTGAAGGGCTACAGAAAGGAAGAGGTTTTTGAAGGTAAAGAGGGAGCAGAAAAGGAAATTATTAGCAAAGAATCCATTGTTTTAGGCAAGGTTGCCCTCCTAAGGAGAAGTGAAAGGGTGTCTCAATAAAAGTCCCTAGTGCTGACAAGGAAAGTCTCATGCTGACTGATTAAAGGTTACATTTCTGGGGGGTTAAAACTACAGTTAGGTTAGGTATTAAGTCTTATTTTACTGACTTGGGGCCTTACCCTAAGTGATGCCATTTGGGTCTGTGGTTTTATTTTTAACACTATTAATATAGCTCCACCAGTTTTCTCATGCAGCATTTGCTCAGTATCTCTTTTTATTTTAATTTAGTTGTATTTTTATATTGAAAGTGCTTTTCTTATAGACAATATGTGGTTGAGTCTTGCTTTTTCATACAAATTGACAATCCATGTCTTTTAATGGGAATCCATTTACATTTAATGTAACTGTTGATATAGTTGGGTTTAAATATGCCATCCTAGGGGTGCCTGGGTGTCTTAGTTGGTTAAGCATAACACTCTTGATTTCAGTTCAGGTCATGATCCCGGGGTCATGGGATCAAGCCCTGCATCAGGCTCTGCATTGAGCATGGAGCCTGCTCAAGATTCTCTGTCGCCCTCTGCCTGTGTCCCCCATTTGCATGCTCTCTCTTTCTCTCAAACAAAAAAATAAATAAAAATAAATTTAAAAAGATAACTATGCCATCCTAGTATTTGTTTTCTAATTGTCTCTTTTGTTTTTAGTTTCTCTGTGCTTCCTTTCCTGCCTCTTTTGGGTGAATGGAATATTTTTAGCTATTCTTTGTCTTATTTCAAATAAAAATACTACTTGGGGCACCTGGGTAGCTCAGTCAGTTAAGCATCCCACTCTTGATTTCCTCTCAGGTTATGATCTCACAGTTTATAAGTTCGAGCCCCTGTCAGGCTCCACGCTGACAGCGTGGAGCCTGCTTGCATTTCTCTCATTTCTCTCTTACACTCTCTGTCTCTGCCCCTCCCCTGCTCGCATTCAAAATAAATAAATAAACATTAAAAAAAATACTGCTTATTCATGCAGTTTCCTGTATTTTGAAGCTCTGTTATGTACACGCATGTACAGCTTTCTGTACCGGAATTCTGTCTGGGGTTGACCTTGCCCATCTTTTCTTTTCCCATCACAAAATGAAACCAAGACCTAGTAGACATTAAGCTAACATGATAGTTATAACATAAGACACACCCTTTTAAATCACTGTAATCAGTGTAACTGGATAGCTGTCTGTATACTGCCACATTCTTCTGTCATGTCCTTCTTCCATGCTGTATGCTGCTTAGGAGCCAGCCTGGAAGATATGAAGTTGTTTCCTTCTTATGAAATTTATGTCAGACAAGGATCATTTTTGTATTATCATCAAACAGTTAATTCATGAGCAGCTTGGTGCTGCCCTTAGAAGCTTGCAATTTGGTTAAGGCATTTATATAATTTTATTATGTATTTTTCTATGTTGTATTATGTAAGTGTATCATATTTATATAATAAGAAAGATAAAGAGCAATACAAGGCTGTGTGTAACTGTTACAGATAATAAATAAATGAGGTAAAGATGTTTATGTAGTTAATTAGAAAAACAAGCCACCTAAACAGCTGCCTATAGAGATTCTTGATCATTTATAGTGAGAGAAACTCATATCTTTTTTCCCCTGTCTTCCTCTTTTATATAGATAGATATAGATAAGTATCATATGATTATTTGAATATTGAAATTTCATTTTGATTTGGCTTTCCTGGGTGGAAAACGTTTACATCATTTTACACTTTTGAGCATGAATTGCCTCTCTTTCTAGGTGTAATCAGTTTCTACTCTTCAGCATACAGATTTTATGAATAATATTCAGTGCAGAAAGAGAGCTCTAAAAATAATTGTGCAGGTAGGGTTTTGTTAGTCTTACATGGAACACAGGCAGGAGAAAAGAACAAAGGCACATCAGAGGAAAGGTAGTGGTAGGCAGAGCATTTAATTTCATTTGCCTCCACCAAAGAGCTTGCATTTAGCAGAGAAGGAAAAACAAACAAGAAACAGGAGATCTGCAGTAGGTATTGAATGTTTCATTTCTCATCACTGTTAGTCACATTTGAATGGAACCATTACAGTCTTTTTGGTGTATAACTAAGCCTTTCTTTTTCCTCCAAAAAGAAGATCTTGAATTTTATGTTTAAAAGCACAATGAGATGTTTTTGACATTCTGCAGTTCATTTTGAAAATCACAGTCAAAATCCATTGCCTTTCAGTAAGGTGGTAAAGGATGTATATAATACACGTCATTTTTACACATAATAGTACCTTAGATAGTCTCTAATGTGTATTATGTACACACACCTTTTAGCATCTCTTTCTATCTGGCAGCTTACAGCATTAGGCTGAATGTTTTGGTGAACAACTGAGTCGGGGTGAAATGCTGAGCAGTAGAACAATGGATTTTTATTATAAAAAGTAAGCTCTTCACAGCTTCTTTCTGATACTTTTCTGTAAAGATTGTAAGCCAACATATTTGCCAGTACATAATTAAGATGGCATACTCTTTAATGTTAAAATTATTCTTCCAGAAATGGAGATGGAATTGACTAACCAACTGATGATTCTCCTCTTGAGCTATGATTTATGTTTTGTACAGGGAAATCTATTTTGCAAATGTATTACTGACTATTCTTACAAATAAATGTATACAGGGTTGTTATAATTAAGAATTGCTGGGCTCATCTACTACGACAGTATTTACTTATTATTTGACTAAATTTCATATTATTCAGCTCAGCCCAGGGAAGGAGATTTAGTAGGTTTGCTTTCTTATTCTGATACTACTATACTTTGGTTTTCGGTCTAGTGGTTGTGAAATATTCCCTACAAATATGTTTGCTTAGAATCCCCAAAACAAAATAATAAAATCACTTAAAAAAACCTTTTAATACACAAAATTCATATTCTGGGCTGATATGCTTTGGCTGTGTGCTAAAAATTAAATAAACAAATACCAAACAAAGCAAAGTTGGTCAAGGCTATGACTTATGAAGAATACCAGCCAATGGTACAACCCTAAATATTGTTTTTCCTTCTCTTGGCCTGAAAATACTTCAGGAGAGAAGCTATCATACCCATCTTTCATTTAAAAATGATCAGTTTTCATGTCTTAGATTCCAAACCTTTTAGAATAGTTTTTGGCTCTTAGATAAAACAATACACTGTGTAATCCATATTGACTCATTAATCATTTGTAACTTTACAGGTACTGATTAGGATGAATGTGATTTGGAGAAATTCTGTTTCCTGTCTAAGGATAAGAAAGGTGCCACATAGATACCAAAGTGGTAATCACCCAGCGGCCCCTCTGGGATCAAGGATTTTAACTGACCCAGCCAAAGTTTTTGAACACAACATGTGGTGAGTTATGTTTCAAGGTCTAATATATATGCCTGTTAAACATTAACAGTGGTATTATTTTCATTTAGTGCCAAGAAAGGATTTTTAAACTTGATCCGTGTTGTTAAGGTCCAAAGGCAGGGTAACTCATCCTAACTTAAGTGTTGCCAATTCTGAATTTCTTCACAAATGGAATTGGAAAAATGACTTCCCAAGTACTTTCCTCAGCTTTGGTGTTCTTGCAGACCCTTCCTGCTCACCTCTGGTCCTGAGTACTTGTCAGTCAGCAAACTGTATATTCACCACCTGCTGCTTACTGAGCAGGGAGAACACACTGGTATGACCCTAGTCTGTGCTTTTAGGAAATCCAGCCTCTGTTTGGAAGGATAGATATTTCTAGGAAAAAAATACATGCAGTACATAGCAGCAGATTGTAAGGGCCCAGTGTGTTCTTATAAGGCATATACACTGTATGTCTTCTAAGAATAACTCAGTAGTGCAAAACCACTTCTCCTTTGACGCTGGAAGATTTTTCCCCCCCAATTTCAGCTTTATTGATGTATCACTGATATATAAAGGAAGCTTTCTTTAAGTGGAGAAATTGAGATCAGGATTATTTATTCTGTCTCCAGTACCTAGAACAGTCCCTGACACATAAATATTTGTGAAGTAATGACTTAGATAGTTAAAGCTGGAATAAGGGCATTCTAGGTGTGTAAAAAGTCATAAAACACAGAGATTGAAAAGTATAAGACATATTCAGGAGACTGTGAACAGGATAGTTTTCCTAAAATAAGGACTCTTAGAAGATTTATAAATGATAAGGCTGGAATGATATAGAGCAGGTATGGGGGTGGGAGCAGGATTGCGTGAGTTCTGGAATTCACAGCTGAAGTAGAAGGCATTCAAGAGCCACTAAAGAGAAATGGCAGCATACATAGGCTATTAACTATTGTATATTTATTTGGTTAACAGTATACTAACTAGATAGATCAGCAGGTAGAACTAGAAGCAGGAAAGGACCAATAAAGAGAGATCTCAAAGGAAGAATAAATAGAACTTGATGCTTTTGCAGAGTAAAGGAAAAGAAAGCATTTGACTCTGAAGTTTTGATCCAAGATGACTAACTGAAAGTTATTAATTAGTTCCACACTATACAATATGTGGCCACTAGCCAGATGTGGTTATTGAGCACTTGAAACCTAATTAGTCTCGAGTGATATGTGCTGTAACATTTTGAAGACTTAGTATGGGCTCTCTCAGCCTTAGTGCCATCTTTTTGGAAACTTCTGCACCATGAGGAGGAAAAAGCAAATGTTCAGGCTGAAGTGTAAAAGAAGATGAGGTAGAGGTCCAAAGAAACCACTAGCTTGTGAACCCATGGAAGCCACAGGAGCAGAAATAAGGAAAGACAGAGGCGGGGATGCTGTTACCAATTGTTGAACTGCATACCAACTTTCTAGAACTTGATTCAATGGGTCTAGAATGTCCATCACCATCTGATCACAAGGACCACCTTTGAGCGACCCACCTTGTTTATTATACCAAAACAGTTCCTTTTGGTTCTTTGCCCTGGACCCGTGACTTTCAGAAATAATTCTGTTTTCATTTGTGGCTGAATGTAACATGTGTACAATAAATCATCTCTTCTGCTGTCTTAGCTGAAGAAAAAAAAAACAGTACAGGGGTACCTGCGTGTCTGAGTCAGTTAAGCATCTGAGTCATGATTTTGGCTCAGGTCATGATCTCATAGTTTGTGAGTTCAAGCCTCACATCGGGCTCTACACTGATAGTGTGGAGCCTGCTTGGGCTTCTCTCTCTGTTTCTCTGTCTCTCTCTGTCTCTCTCTCTGTCTCTGCCCCTCCCCTGCTCATGTACACTTTCTCTCGAAATAAATAAATAAACATTAAAATAAAAGAAAGTACAAAAAGAAGAGGTAAAATATATCATTAAAATTTTTTTATACTGAACCACATGTTAAGATGATATTGTTTTGGATATATTGAATTAAATAAAATATATTATTAAAATTAATTTTATTTCTTTTAGCTTTTTTTAAAGTTTGTTTATCTTGAGAGTGTGTGCATACACATGTGTGTGAGTAGTGGATGGGGAGGGCAGAAGGGGGGAGGAGAGAGAATCCCAAGCAGGCTCCGTGCTGTCAGCACAGAGCCCAACATGGGACTTGATCCCATGAAACGTGAGATCACAACCTGAGCCAAAATTAAGTCAGACACTTAACCGACTAAACCACCCAGGCATCCCTCTTTTAGCTTTTTTAAAAATGGCTACTAGAAAATTTTAAATTACACCTATGGTTGACATTATATTTTTTTTGGACAGTTGCTGAATTAAACTACTTTGCCTGCCATTACCAGTATGGACAGTTAGAGTAGGCTGTGAGATCATTGCCAGGCAATTAAACCTCCACAGGAACTTCTGGTCCTAGGCAAGACCTTCGTTTACCAAGTTTTTATTCTTCATTAGAGTCTCGTGATTTAGTGGTCTATGTTCTCTTCTTCCATCTGCTACCACCAGCTCTTTTGTCCAAGGTTCCTACCTACCCATTTATGTTCTGTTTTGTCATAGACTCTCAGGGAAGCAAGGGTCCTCTGGGTCAATGCCTCTCAAGCACTGTGGGCTAGTACAAGAATCCCTTGGGGAGTTATTATTTCACTAGGTCTAGAGGTATGGCCCAGGAATTTGTAATTTGAAAAAGCTCTTTTAGTAATTCTGTTGAGCAGCCAGGTTTAGGAATCTTTGATCCAGTCCAGTGGTTTTCAAACTTTTCTTTAGCAGTGGAATTTTTTTCCAGGTGAAGTCTTATCATGGAATCCCAATATTTAAGCGGTAAAAACAAACCTGGTCTTAATGAAGCATGTAGAGGCCTGAGGCACCAACAGCTCCACCTCCCTTTTCCTCTCCCACCGTGCCTCCCTCACTGTAGAAGCCTCATGGCCTCTTAGGGTTTTGTTAATTGAAGTTTGAAAAACCTTAATCTAGTCTCGACAGCTGTCCTTCTCCACAGCATACTCCCTAAAAGGTTGTGCAGCCCATGCCAGGATACTTGTAGCGAACTCTCTCCAAAGGTGGATTCGTACTGTAATAATAAAAATAATTTCCTCCAAAGAAAGAGGAAAGTAAAAGTAGTTGCTTCCTATCATCTCCTCATGTACCTGTTTTGCTGTGGTTGCTTTTTTGTTTGTTTTTTGGGTTTTGGTTTTTGTTTGTTTTTATTGTTTGTTTTTGTTTTTGTTTTTTGCTTAAAGAGAAGATTTGTAAATTAAACTGAAAACCAGAAGACTGGTTTATTTTCCCCTTCCTTCAAGTCCAAGTTCTGTCCAAAAGTTCTGACTTCCTCATTTCCTCCTTTGTGGTTAAGAATGTTTCCTCTCTTGCTGAACTTTGATTTTTAAAAGATGTTTTTAGAAAACTACTGTACCTGTCAGTTCTTTCTCAGAGATGTAAAATTGTCTACAGTTTATTTTTCTGTTTAGCCTCTAATTTAGTTAGTAAGTACTATTTACTCTATATGTGACCCACTTTTTACAAATATTTTTTGAGGAAAAAATAAATATACCCCTTTTTATTCAGTTTCTGATATCCTGAGAAAGAATTGCCCTCCAGCCCATTTCACTAAGAAGCCTGAGTTCTCCAGATAAAGAAGATGGAATGAATCTGAAAAACAAAGTGTTCTTCCTTCAACAAAATGAATAAAAAGTAATAAAAGCAAGCAAAACTACCAATAGCAACCAGAAAAGTCCATAAACATGGCAAATTAGTGATCAAGTAAAGAAACTGTAGATTCATATGTGGCTCAGAGTGGTTTCTGACCTCACCTTCATCTCTCAGAAGCAGTACCAGGAAAAGAAGGTCAGCTGGCAGATCATTACTAATACTCATTAGCAGCCCAGTAAAGGTTGAAAAAGAACTCTTGAAAATAAATGGTTTTGCCTATGGCAGCAGAATTTAAGGTCTCAGCAGAGCAGGGAAAATCCTAAGGCTCACCATTTTCTGGGGTTCCATGCTGAATAGGGAGAACTATCCCAAGCCCAAGTGAAACCCTTTTAGGAATAGGACACATCTTAACTAGATGAGTGAAACCTAGCATAGGACTTAATGAAAGGAAAGGGAAGGGAAGGGGAAAGGAAGGGAGAAAGAAAAAGAGAGAGAGAGGAGGCATGGGGAGGGGAGGGAAGAGAAAACAGATTTCACACCCTCATAAAGGCTGTCCACTACCCAGTGGAGTTTCCTCCATCTCGCTCAATTCTAAGACCCTCAAAATATAGGAAAGTGGATACAATCTATAACGCTGAGCCTTCAAACTGGAATTTACAGAGAAAGATAAAGAGGTCTCTGAGTAAGGTTGGGTGTCAAGAGAATTTATCTGCAGAAAGACAGAAAGACAGAAAGAGGGAGAAAGAACATAGCAAGCATTATTGATTCGTTTGCATTTTCCAGTATTTAAAGGAAATCACAATATGTATTCTCTTTCTTGCCTGGCTTCTTTCACTAAGCATAATTACTTTGAGATTTATCCATGTTGTTGCATGTATCAATAATTTGCTCATTTTCGTTGTAGATAAAAGACTCATGAGAGCTTTTTACAAGCTCTCAAAATTCAGTAAACAAAGCTCATAATAAGAATATATAAAAAGCTCCCAAAATTCAACAAGAGCCCAATAAAAATGGGCAAAATATTTGAACAGATACTCCACCAAAGAAGACTCACAGATTAAAAAAAGAAGATACATGGATAATAAGCACATGAAAAGATGATCAGCATCATTAGTCATTAGGAAAGTGAAAATGAAAGTTAACAATGAGGGGCATATGGCTGGCTCAGTCAGTAGAGCATGTGATTTTTGACCTTCCCATCATGAGTTTGAGCCCCATGTTGGATGTAGAGATTACTTTAAAAATAAATAAATAAATAATAAAAAGCTTTCAAAAAGAAAAAAGCTAAAGACACAATGAGATACTACTACAAACTTATTAGAATAACTAAAATTCAAAATCCT